TATATATATATATATATATATATATATATATATATATATCGTTTCCTTCATCGGACGTTCTTGCCAGAAAATTTTTAGTTCCTTATTGTAACTTTGTGGTACAATTTCTTTTCCCATATCGTTTAGATTGCTTTTTCAAGTGAACATTTGTAGGCGTTATAACAGGAAGCGTGATCTGTAGAATTGGCATGAATATTCGTTTCTACTTATCGTCACCACCCACAAAACCCTCTCTGTTTTATTTTGCGACTTTTAAAATTCTACTGAATCTGTTTTTTTTACATTCTTCGCTGGATGGACCTAAAAGTAACTTGGTTACTGGAAAAACGTAGTCCTCTATTTTTCACTTTTCTTAGTGTTCCTCGTAGTCATCGTTGTTTTTCTAAAGCACCCATTCAGGGAACACATATGTACATCTGGTATCTTCTAGATTTTACCAACTGACGTGAAATAAACTTTAGGAATATACTAGTGGTTACAGTTTATGGCTTAAATAAGCGAACAACCCGTAGAGATGGAACTATTCGCTGAATTAGGTTTGGGCGGTGCCAAGGCTTCGTCATCTCTCTCACTCAGTGTCTATTGCGTGACAGTTTCCTTCCTTTGTCCGTCATTGTTTCTTCATTTTTGCTCTTGATTACTTAACTGAGCTTATGCTGCGATGCCGGGTCTCGTCTTCTGGCTATTTGTCCCGTAATATTTTCGGCTTTTACTGCATCTTTTCAAAAATACGGTTTTCGCATATCCCTCTACTACCTATGACTTTCATTTCTGGAATCAGCTCCTACACTTTGCTGAGTTTTCTAATAATTATTTTCATTTGGATAGAAAAGACATAGTTATGGAGCGAATAATTCTCCAAACGGGGAGATGCCAAAACAAGTGCGCATTCTCGGGAAACTATTGTTTGTCGAAGTTAGCATTATCGATGTGTGAGTAGTGCATAACTTCTCCTGGAGAGTTCTTATGAGCTCTCGAACTCCTCCATGTAATTTCTTTAATAAGCGTGACAGGGTATTTTTTCGTGAATAATCATACAGGTGTTGAAAAATGGCATGTGTTACAAGATTAAGTGAAAGAAATCCTCTAATATCGATGATGCTCCGTTGGACACAACGAAAGCCTTGTCTACCATAAGGTTTCGGCGGGCATTTGTTCGAATTGGAGGACAGTTTCTTCCATTATGAGATGCTGCTGGAAAACCGGTCACTCACTTGTGAGAATTAATGCTCACAACGCCGTGAGCATTCGTCTAAGAATTACCACAGCTTGCGTGCAGGAATGTGGCTCATGGCCGAAATCGATAGAACTAGCTGAGAGACAGGTGAAACGAAAGACCCGCATAGTGTGGTGGTGAAAGCGTTACTCCCTGGAAAGGACAGTAGCGTGTTCTTTCCCCACCGCAAACACCTGCGGTCCGGAGTTTTGCAAATATCTCAGCATCATTGAAGTTATATTTCGCAATATGCCCCGCCATCAAAAAGAGTAGGCAGTAAATAAAACGGCTAAAACGACGTAGTCTCAAATCGTCAGGACCGCAAAAGTTCATTGATCACTTCCACAGCTAATAAGATGAATTGAAGTTGCCGAATTTCACCGAAATTTTCTGATTCCCATCTCAGTTTTAACGAGATGTTTTACCTAATTTCTTGTCACACTAACGTCTTAATCAACGCGTCCATCCACCCCTCCACTTTCGAGCATATATTTATGCTGTTTATTAAGACTCTACTGGAAATCCACCGCAGTCAACTTAGAAACAGTGGAACTTGGCAGATCTCTAAACTACAATAGGAATTTTCCAACTTGTGAATATTTTTGTACCAGTTAGATGCATTATTGTTTTAGCATGTTCTTAACCACGGAAATGGACTTCGGGCTGGCTATGCTCCGTCATGTTCCACTCAACACGTCTGCCGTAGTGTCACCGATTTCAGTGATCTTCACCTTAGCGATGCTCCAAGCAGGAGCCAGAAGTAGTACGAAAGAGCAGATTAATGAACTGATTACAAAGGGTCAGAATACTTTTTTAATCTTTGTGTGTTCTGTTTTCCTCTTCTTCTGCGTTACTTGTTTCCACACCTTGTGTGAGAATTGAGGCATGTTCGCTTTCAGTACTTAAAAAAAACTAATTTAGGATTTTCGGACGAGAGCATTACGAACTACTTTTCAAGTCTTTCAAATGCCATTCTTAGTGGAACTGATGGAGTACAGACCCGCATGGCTAATGGTTTTTTCTTGAAGTAGGTGTTATAGTCTCGAGAAAATCTCTAGTCCAAATCCTTTCTTCTTTTCTGCCAAATCTTTCCTTTCATAACAAGATTTGGAAAATACTTCATGAAAAAATCTTCTTTCCTACTTGTTCCTTTCTGACGACATGTTTTAGTAAACAGTTTGTCGTAAAGAGGGACTACGTGGACAGAATTGTCAATAAATTCCATGCAAAAGTGGAAACTCTTGACTTTCGCGAGGCAGAAGAAGCAGCCAAGGGAAGCCCTTTGTTCACGTTCATTTGTGCATTTTGGATGCTTTTATGTGAAAAATTTTGCCATACAATACATAGAAAGTATATTTCAGACTATTAACGAATTTGTTATTAAGACGACTGAAGGAAAAATACATGACCTTGTGAACGCAGATACTGTCAAAGGTGGATTGTCTTTCCCATTTGTGAAATTTTGATAAGGCATTATAGAGTTTTCAAATATAAGATAAAATTTCGTTCGATCCGAAAGGAAAGTGGTGACTACCGTTGGACGCATGCTTCCCTACTTCAGAAGTCTTCACTAAGTCCTGGTCATGTATAATCCAGCGTGAGGTCGTTATACTGAAGCGGCAACCCGAGAACTAGAACTCCATTTAATACGTGCGACTATAGAGAATTTGGCTGAATTGGTGTTTTTCAGACCCTTGATTGGATATGGAAATATATTGATTTGAGCATCTGATTGCACGAAACATTTGTCAGCGGTTAAAAAACTAGTAACTAACTTCTGCGTTTTCCTCTTCTTGTTGCGTGCTTACCACCAGTATTCATCTATGATAAACATGAGAGCTAGACATTTTACAAGAACCTGGAGAAGTTCTGCGGTGTATACCCGTTATTTCCGAGGTCATCCTTGGTTACTTCAATCCAAGGATAGGGCCTGGCAACTTCAATGGTAATATGGAAACCGTTAGCAATACCATCCCAGGATTCGACGGAGAACAGACTTGACCAGCATTCAACGTGATTCATGAAAAAGAAAAAAAATCCGAGATCATCAGCCGAACCTACTAGTCGAAAACTTTCATGGATGATGGATGCGAGAAAATGATTCGAATGCAGGAACTGCTGGGATCCGCGTGATGTCGGATCGCGTATAATTAAAAAAACAAGCAACCTATTATATCCAGTCTCCATGATTATTTTACAGATGCCTTCTCGCTTATTATCAATGCTGTTTATTTTACTGGCGAATGGCTTGATGAATTTTACAAGGACTATAATACGAAGGCGATATTTCATAGTGTCGAAGAAGCTAGGAGAGAGGTTTGTTGAAAAGTTTCACGAATTTTCTTTTTGAGCACTAGCGCTTGTGACATCGCTACAGCACTTATTTTGTTTAACAAGCAAATACTGTTATTCTTCAATAAGATGTGAGGACACTTGAACATCTTGATAAGTGAATTTAGACGGAATTCATGAGTGATCTCGAAGTATACAGACAATATGCAGAAGATGACGAAGTGGAAGTTTTGTCGCTTCCTTATAAAGATGTCTCCTATGCATTCAACATATTTCTACCCAAAAAGGGGTAAAAGCTTACAGTAATTTATTTCTGTATACTGTAGATATGAAAGTTCTTATCTGAAATTATCAGATTTGGCCTGGAATCGGTTCGTTCGATGATCGACGGGGCAAGAATTCAAAAACTGCTATCTAGATTAGAGGAGACATTCATATCGGTATGTTATAATTTTCAAGAAGGTTTTCATTCTTGGTGATTCTAGCGTAGTCCGGAAGATGTGGTCTCAAAAATAGCATTTTCTCGTTTTATCCACGTCTCTGTTCTACGAACTATTCGACACTGTGAAACCGATGAACAGATACGAAGTGTTGTTGCAAAAGGTCAAGTGTCATTAAATAGCAGTTTGATATTGGTGCTCCTATATGATCTAATAGCACCTTTGACCACGTAAGCTCGCCATGGGGGCTTCATCGTGTAGACAAATTCATATTCCTTTTCGAATGTGAGCTTCTGGAAGAATACAAATTTGGATGAAAAGCTAAGTGTCATTAACTAGCAGTTTGATATTGGTGCTCCTATATGTCCTTATTTTCCGGATATGAATCAAAGGATTTTCACTTCACTCGTAAATAATAAGTAATCTAATAGATAATAAAAGCAGCGACGTCGTTTATCGGATTTCCCACGACTTGATTATCAACGCTACAACTGCTTGACGAAAACAATCTTAATTTGGCACATTGTTCAAATTGTGAGCAGCTTTTCTTTCAGGTCACAATTCCAAAAATCAAAATCGAGACTGATTTTAAATTAAAAGAAGCACTTATGAATATGGGAGTTACCGAAGTCTTCAGTGATAACGCGGATTTGAGTGGCATTTCTAGTAAGCCACCACTGAAGATTTCAGATGCCGCCCATCGAGCCATAATTGAGGTGGGTTCCCTTAACGTCTAGAGTCAATCGGTGTGCACAAGTCAGCAACTGGTTGAAATGTTCTTGTGGTAACTGAGTAGTTCAGCTACCGTTCTCACACATTTTGCCACACCAGAGCTATTTCGATTCCAACGTGGGACAGCTGTCTGGATTGTTTCTTTTCTGAATGGAACCTTTCTGGAACCATGTGGTTTTTGTAAACTAAATCATATCCTAATTTTGCAAGCAGATGTACCACGATTTTGTTGAAGAATCTGAAGTATCAGTATAATGCAATGGCTTTGAAGGTGGACGAAAAAGGCACGACAGCCGCTGCTGCCACGCTTTTCAAGGCGATTCCGAAGATGGCGGTTTTCGAGAAACCGAAAAAATTCGTCGCTGATCATCCATTCCTGTTTATTCTCACAAAACATAACAATCCTTTATTCATGGGACAGTTCGTTTGACTCATTTAATAGCACGTTATCTCATTTGTTGAGTGGAAATTAACCTCGGTCTCGTCTTTTCGGATATTGTCTTTCTTATTGATACGTTGTACAGAATAAGGAATATTGTTTACCTCCTTATGCTCTTATGCTCCTTCTTGCAGTACTGATGAATTCTGGCAGTATAGGTTTCTTCCCACTGGCCAACTCATATACCTGCTTCGCTGCTGTTTAGACAACTCTGTTTGATGTCTTCGTATTTACCGCACACATGTAAAATCCGGTGTTCGCGAAGTGCTCTATAATCTTTTTTGTGCTACCTTTTCCCCAGTGGCTTTGAGAAAGTGGCAACCCTTATAATAACCTCTGCCTACTCCATGCCCTTCACAGGAATCATCTGCGTCATCTGCTCATTGAATCAGATGTGCTCCAGTGCATAATCAGACTCTTACTGCTAGCGTGGAGTCATTCTTTGGCATGTAACGTAGGACAACATTGTATACAACCATACGTACCCGAGAGTAATAAGGCCTTTCAAGTAATTCCCATAGCGAACTTTATTAATTGAAATAAAGGCATTAGAATCTACGGACCTCTACCTACAAAATACAAATAATACACATGCTATTCTTTTCTACTGAGGTGAAAATCCTACTTTTTGAGCCAATGAGGCGTATTTTGTTCACATTTCGGCAAATCTCCCTCTGATCCACAACGGCGGCGACTCCTTGTGGTGATGAAGACCTGGTACAGACTTTGGATAGGATGACCTCGGTACTGCAGGGAACCACATTGGCTAAACCAGCAAAACTCTGAATAAATGAATAAATTATGCGGGGCTCCGCACAACTAATGAGGACTGGCCATCCAAGTGTGTGTGTATCCAAGTTCTCTTCCTTGGCACACAGTGGCTACTGTCCCAAATATATTTTCACAAACGCCCTTTTTGCTTGTTAGGGGTGAGATAAGAGGTAATGAACCAGCATGGTTTTGCTACGTGGCTTTAGACACCACTTTGTGGTGTAGCTATTTTCGCCTAGTTAATTAGATAGGGTAAGAACGTTCAAAAACGAAAGCTAGTTTTCCTTCGGTTTCCCTCGAGCGAATGTTATGAACTCTGACTGCTCGTCTAACAATTCAAAGCGTTTATCCATTTTCTTTTGTGTGGAGCAGATGAGAAAACGGCCATCTATATATCTACAATGGCTTAATGGCAGGCGATCGATTGCTGATTCCTCCATCTTAGACATAAAGCAAGGTTTGGTGCCAGTCGGTGTCCCATTGCAACCAGCCATTTGTGGTTAATATTTACCAGACCATCTCAAGATCGTGCACTTTAGACATTCCTTTAAGAGGATCATCAACTGCTGAGTAGAAAAGAAATACATGCTCATTTTTTATAGCTTCTTCATGTTGCATAAGGAGTTCGCGTATTTCTTGCATTACGGAGTCATTCGACACGTTTGTACAAAACGCCATAACGCCGATGGACACCATGACGCTATTCCTGCTAGGATGAGCGTTACGATCCAGGAACATTTGGGTAGTCGCAAGAGGGGCTGCAATGTGTTTCAGCAAGTGGTTGAGAATTAGGTTTATGAACCAAGCTATTCTATCCGATGGCCCGTCATCACAACTGTTTGGTCAAAACTTGAATGTTGAGTGTTCGATAGACACTAGATTGTTAGCGGTTACTAACTTATAAATTCTCATAAGCAAGTTTAAGACGGGACATGTTGGAAACTCGATTTCAAGATATGAAATATCTGATGGCTTTGAACGTTTCTCGATTGCCACTTTGACCCATTCCTTGTTCATTTTTCGGTGATAACTTTTGCATTCCTTTTCAGATGATTGGCGATAAAGGGAAGCGCCTTCAAGACTCTTCTTCGTTATCTCATCATCTAAATGGGGAAAAATTACTGCAAAATTTCGTTACCATTAATTGACAGCCTAACAGGTTTTTCTTTGAATAGTCCTCGAATCTTTCCCATAGAACACATTCGTTCTGCTTGATACTTACTTGACACTTGAACGGTCCGCCGTCATTGGTTATGCGGGCTCCAACATGATCACCATTTCTCGGACACTTGCTGGTTAAACCATTATGGTTTCCTGGAATTCCGAGGTCAGCCTAGCCAATGTCTGCCCCAGGTCTTCACCACCACGGGCAGTCGCAGCCCTTGTGGATCAGAGGGAGATTTGCCACCATGCGACTTTGATACCAGGACGGTTGCGGGTACTGGTATTGGTTTACACTTAGTTAGGCTTCCTGATGGAAATGCCGGGCTCCTCAGCTTGGGGGACCCTGTCGGAGAGACGAATCCTCCCGCTGTACATCGCAGTCCGACTCCCACGAACACCTCCAGCCACGATGAAGCGGTAAACCGTTGGGAGCTTTGTCTTGCTACGAGATTGAAAGTAAGTTTTCTGTCGCGATACTGGTTAAGGATTTTTAGAGCTCACGAAAACATGCAGAAATTGATATCTGCTTCGACGTTAAGAACTGCCTAAAGAACGCTCGGGGAAAATGGAGTCGGTGGTAATGCCCCTACTTCTCGTTGTTCACTCCTATCTAGTTTTCCAACTCTAGTTTTGCTATGGAGTCGACCTTGAAGCTCGAGTAGATTGCACGGGATCCTACGGAACATTTCATTAGAAATGGGTTGCGCTGGTAAGAAACTATGGTCCAATTCTAGTAGCGAGCGCTCGTCGCTAGAGAGAGTCATGCCTTCTAACTCGGAGACCCTTGACTTTTTTGGCGCGTTATCGAGCGTAGTTTGACTCTTGCTAGTGTCGTAAATGGTGTTTTTTTATTTTATTGAGGCTCATTCATGTGATTCATTTAGTAATGTTTCGGATTTTCTGCTTGAGGTTGATTCAACATTCGACTCGGTATAATTGCAAATCAATACTGATCCATCCATTGATCTCCTTCAAAGGAGATCCTCTAAATATTGAATATAATAGGGCTGTCTCGATTTGCGCTCCTTCATCTGAGGATACATGTTGTCCTACCTGCATGGAAGAGATTCGCGGAGTAGTCGCAATTCGGTGTTCGGTGCTTGTTTGCCGTGCTATGCTAGACCACATAAATCGCGTAAGCATTTTTGTTTTGTTGAAATTCTGCACAACTGGTGTTTAGGAGGAGGCCAATGCAACCTTCTGTCTTGGTGACAGGACTACATTTACAAGTCGGAATATTCTGCAGGTACTTCATGTAGCAAATCCCCTGATCGACTTTCTTTTAGCCCCGACTTTGATCAATAATGCACCGGTTTCCCGATAAGCCGGCACCAGGTTTTTTCTGTTTGTACATTGTAGCTAAAATGTGGGTGGTTTCTCTTCCTTCAGAGCCCGGAAAGGTCAAATTGACACGCAATCTTTTAAGTCAAACACTTTCATAACCTCAGCAGATAAAACTTCGTGCATAAATTTTCAATCGTGTAGCAAATGACTTTTTTAGACATTCACAGTTCCCTTCTCTGTAAATCTTCCAGTTGTTTACTGGAGAAAAGCAGCACGGAGTCTTACATGGGCAAGGAATGTGCGTGGATCAGGTCAAAGAATCAGCCTGGGCATGGCGCTAGATCATGCGTTACCGCAAAGCGATTCTACTTGCGGTTTATTTTTAGATTTTTAGAATTGATCCAAGGCGATTCAAGAGTTTTACGCAAAGGTATTTGAAATTCTGTGTGAGGATAGTCGGTTTCACTTCAAAATCTCCTCCACAATGTCTCTTTCTCCTATGCGGACCAACTGAAATGTTTGGTTTTACACCAAATGTACCGACTAGATGTTCTTTTATACGCGTGATTGTCTCACGATTTACATGAGATAAGGCAAATCGTACCCGAAATCATGCAAGCGTCGTCTCTACCGTTGGTGCAATTTATACCACTTTACGTCGTTCATAGATGATTATACAGGCGGTTACGAAGTAGCTGACGTCGAGATCGTTTGAAGGTATTCCAGTCATTGTTACCGAATTCTCTAAAACGGTCTTCGTGCGCAATGTTTCATAGCTGCACCAATAACCGAGATAAGAGGACTGAATTCTTGAGCAAAATCAGATCACGGCCCGATTTTCAAGCAAGTTAAGGCGGAATGGCTTCGAAGTGTGCTGGTGTTCACTTATTTCCGTAGTTACACGGACCTCAACTTCTCTGCTGTTAGTGAAACCCTTTTATTTGTCATCCTATTTGTGTCACTGTGCAGTAGCTGGAGCTTTGAGCCTCTCTACTCGTAACGTTCAGAACACAGTTTTCATCTCATAATAGGTGGAGAGAAATTTTGATCATATGTGGTTTCTAAACTATATCGTCTCGATGAAAAATGGTGAGATTTACAGCAGTACAGGTACTCAAGAGTACCGCAGAATGGAACGCAAGTATGTGATTCCCTTTCTCCCTGAGTCGTGGCACTCAACGCGACTTTTCGAGTGTGATGACTCACAACTATTTACGTTTTGGTGTTTCCAAAATCGATAGTGGAGACGAAAAACAGGAAATTAGACGCTATCTAAACAACTAAGAGAATCATTTTAATCCTTCCCTTTCCCTCTAATTCTTTAGAACACTCTGCCCGGTGCCTCTATTACTCGTAAAGTTGTGAGTTCCCTGACAAAGCTGTGAATGATATTCAAAAAGACATGATCAGCACTGATATAGTTATAGTAGTTATCGATTTTGTGATATTGCCAATTACAGACCTGTCAAGGCCACCTTCAGTAATCGGAAAGGTTCGATCATGTCGTCATTAGTGAGCCTGTTTTTCTGTTCCGTGAGAGTTTCGAAACAATGATCGTTCTGCTCACCGAATGTGATTTAATTCGAATTCGACGGTTTGTTCAATCGTGTGCCATTTCCAGTTTACCATATGTCAATATGCTTTGCAGAAATCGAATTAGAATAGGACACTAAAACAAATCTCTTTTTGTATAGAGTGTCGTGTTCTGTTTCCGTCAGGACTTTTTCTTTTTCCCTTCATCTTAGTCGAAGATCTCTGCAGATTTTCTATTT